AGTCTCTTCTAAGGCAGCAGTCTTCTGTCTTCTCCACATGCAGCAACTGATAGCTGGATTTCTGCCAGCACTCACGAGGGAGGCCTCCAAGCTCCCTCGGCCCCTTGACGCAGGTAGAGGGGTCTTCCGTGGGCTTCGTAACCCCAGACAAGGTCATTCCACCACGGTCTTATCACGAAGACACAGGGGGTCTTCATGACGGTCTGGTATCTCCAGAAGATTCAAGCTCCTTGCAGGGCCTCTGTGCCCTGTCTCTCAGGCTGCCACCTTGGCAGCAGTGCAAGGGGGGAACCAAGGTCACCCCCTCTGCATTCCTCTCGGAGCTCTCTAGCTCCTTTCTGCAGTGCATGTCACACTTCAAGGCTCTTTCAGGCAAGAGTCCATCATCTTCCTCCTTCCAGGAGGTCTCAAAGGAGTTTGGGGGGTGTGGTATCAGTTCTTACCCCCAGAACTCTGTCTCTCTGCTGCTCGCTCTCTTCTGCCGGCTTTCTATCTCAACTCGAGCAACTCTGAGTCTTCCTTGGCTGCATGCTGTTTCTGCTGCTTCTCCGGTTCAATTCGTATCTCTCCTGGCTCTCTGCCACCGTTTCTCTGGTCAGTGCTGGCTGCTGAAACATCTCCAGGTCCAGTTACAGACACTTAGTCCAGCTGTTCCAAGTCTCTGCAGTTTCCCCCCAGCCAGGGGCTGGGAGGGCCCAGAGGCTCCAAGGGGCTCAGAGCCCCTTCCTCGTGGCTCTACAACATGGCCACCTCCCCTCCAACAACCAAACTACAACTCTTCTCTTCCGGTCTGGTTGTGCTATGTTTACATCTCGCAGGAGCGCCCATTGGGCAGAACTTCAAAACTTCCAGGGGTTTCCACCCCTTGGGGTCTACTACTTTTTCAGCCTCTGGGGGAAAACAAGATTCAAACCACTACAGTCCTGAAAATAGAACACTTTAACTCTGTTTCAAAGCTGAAAATACTCAAAGTTTGGAGACAGATATGTGGGAGGTTCAGTGCTCATTTGTGCACACCATTATCCTGGGTATATTGGCAGTCTCAACACCAAAAGATGTTCTTATGGGTACTGGGTTATAGAGGACATTCAAAAGACTTCTGAAAGGTACAGAGGTGACAGCATGGTAGTGAGGAGGGAAAATAAAGACAAAAAGACCTTTCTTGTGTTTCAGAATATGAACAGGTAGTCAAGGCTGACATGGACTGACAGATGACTGTTTTGATAACTTGCAACTTGTTGTAAAGTTTTTATAAAGAAAATAAAACTAGTTAGTAGGCTCTTAGCCAAGACCTGGCAGCTGATGGCAGCTGAACTCTGGGTTGCAGAATGATGTCCTTGGGCAAAGAAGCAAGCATTGAAAGGGGTCTAGGAGCCGTGATGTTTGATTTGATGGTAAGGTATCTTGGTGAATGTGATAAAACAGAGCCGAAATGTCCTGATTTGGCTGAAATATGTAGAAGAATTAATTAAATTTTAGTAGTTGCACCAAGGTTTTTTAATTCATAGGTGAGACAGTTGTAGAAGAGAAAGCATAGAAAACAGACCCTCTGTGCAGTTTATTCAGAGGCCTAAGAAGCAGGTGATTACTCCTCAAAAATAATTGATTAGGTGATGGAAAGGCCAAGAAAGTGAAAGAACAAAATTTCAAAATCAGCTTTATTCAATTTTATTCTGTCCTGTCACTAGTCACCAGAGAGATCAACAACTCCTGCTCCACTGCTGCTCTTGAGGAAGACAAGGGCACCCCTCAGCCTTCTCCATTCCTTTGTTTCTATTGGATCCATCAGATAAGCCTCAGCTGTCATTTCTAGTATGAAGTGCCTTATCTACTTAATTGTTCCTGATCTGTAAGCTGTTCTAGACTGCATCATCTTTGACATAATTTCTGTACTTCCAGTTATTTTGGTTTTCTTCAAAATGAGGAAACAAGACTGCGAATATACACAGTTGACTAATGAAGTTGTATGCACTCTTCTTTTTTTTCTAATCTTATATTTTCTAATATTTTCTATGTTCTACATATTCCAATATTTCTATTTTTTTTTAATATTCTAATATGTATAATTTAACATCCTGACCTCTGGGCCAATCTTATTTCTAGATGTTCTGTATTTAGTCATACAGCAGAACCTAGTACTTCATATAACGTTGGGATGTTTAAATTTATATATGCATATGTATTAGCTCCCAAGTGTCCCCTTTTATAATCTGGGGTTTTTTTGCTATTTTCCTTTCTGAAACATTCAGATTGGGATTCAGCTACAGATTAAAGAGTAGGCATCTGAACCCTGTTGCAATTTATAGAAGAACAGTGCACTTTTATTTGTTTCTTTTGTTCTGTAATTTGTCTCTAGAACATTGGCAGCACTATCCAGTGGATTACTGTAAGAACAGCTCTTCAGTGAGAACATTGTCTAGTCTTTTTTATTGTGCAACAAAATCCTCATGTATACATACATGTATACGTTCATAGATACACATTGCACTGGTGATCTAGGCTCACTCTGGGAGATTCCTGATTCTGGAAAGTTTGAAGGACTTTGGTTATCTCTGACCTGCTTTTATCAGGATTTTTTTTTTTTAATTAACATTTTTCCTTTGAGGTTAGAGTTGGGTTCAGCCCTTCAAGCGATACCTCCTTAAAACCTGTTCTAGCCTTACTGAGCCCCTTTTGCCCTTTCTCGAGCTTTTCTTTTTTGACAATTTTGTGTTTGCTCTGACTTCCCATAGAATTTGTCTTCCCATATGATGTATATACATCTTACTCATTTAAGCAGTTTTAAACATAATTCATGTAGCTGCTCTTTTCAATTTAAGCAACACTTGAGTTGATCTGTTGTTTTTGTAAAGGTATGCAAAGGTTCCTGTTCAAGTGGTTCCTCAATATTTTGAGTTTCTGTTCACTGTTAATGTCAATCAAGCTTTAGTTCCCTGATAACTTCCTGAAGGAACAACAATTTACAGTTTCTAAAAATTTGCTCTTAGCATCATTCCCTGACATGACTCCAATCTTTGTGGTGATGATTGAACTCTCCTGTCACTGGGTTACCTTTCTTGATGCCTTTTTAGTCTCTTCCAGTCTGGTGCAGTAGCCATCTGAGTGATGTAATACACTCTCAGATTATTCATTCCTCCTACAGTAACTCCTAGAGTTATAAGTTAAAATCATAAATGATCTCATAAGAGAAATATTATTTCCCACCCATCACCATTCCAATCCTATTAACTGTATTTAGAAATGCAGAAAAGACCTCATCACATGGATCTGGTGTGCTAATTACTCCAAGAATAAATCTACGCTAGCTTGAAAAACTGTACTTTTTTTCTTCCCTCAAATGCTTTTCCATGTTTTTCAGCATGTCCTATTTCCTGCTTTCACTTGCACCCTGTCTGAAGGATGCTACGATTATGCCTAGTGATTCTTGAATCTTTAATGCCTTTTTTTGACTTGGTACTGACTACTGTCTATGCCAATAGGTTCATTTCCCTTTCTTCAGCTTCACTTGGAAAGTATCACATTTGCTATTTCTTTATATTACTTCAGCAGGCTGTGTCTGGGAACTTCACTGCTCACCCCTGCCCCCACTACAATGAAGTCAAATAAGCAGCTGGTACCCTGTCCTGAGGAGGCATTCTACAGATTAGCCAAAACCAAGTAATAAGAACAGTTTTAAATCACTTACTCTCTAGGCTTGTTTAAAATACTTTGTGACTGTGTTTTGATCAGTAATTAGAATTAATAAAATCAATCCTGATGGTCTCTTTACATTTTTGCATTCCTCATTCAGTGATGCAGTTTTTGAAATACTGGTTATTTGTGATAAAACGATTGCCTTGTTTTCTGATTACTTCACCAATGTGAAGTTATATGAAATGGGATAGGAAATCTTAAGGCCTAATCTGGACCTTTATAATATTGTTTAAGTTGGAAATTTCTACTGAAATCAGGACAGTATTATCACTCAATTACTACTCTTGAGATTAATTAGATAATGGTTTGATAGATAGAAAGGTAGTGTAGAACTTGTGCTTTGTTTCCTTCTATGTATCTGTTAGAGTATACAGTGAGGGTCTGATTTCCTTGGAACAAGTCTATATGCCCACAGCAGTCATTTAGACTCAATTGTAGTCCATGGGGTAAAATTATCTCCTTTAAAAAGGAGATGTCTATTAGCAATGTTTAAAAGAGAATAAATTGTGCCAGTTTCTCACAGATTGTACCTCTAAGTATCTGCCTTTACTACAGGGAGGCAGGAGGAGAGGCCATCTCTAAAAAGATCAAATGTTTTTGAAAACTGGTTTAACTGAAGTCTCATATTTTTCATCCATATGTTAAGTGACCAGAGTAATGGGATGCAAGTTAATGTTTATCACACTTTCAGAATTTTTAAAACAAATATACTGTTATTTCCTGTTTTTAAATGCATATAGAACATCAGGTTATATCCTATAATCACCCTGCACATTTATTACATGTTTGGATGTTTACTGCAACATCTAGAAGTCTCTTCAGAACCAGAAAAAGTGTAATTTTTGTGACCCAGTCAGTATCTCACATGCAGTGTGATTTTTGGATTGTGTTTAGGAGCTTGCATGGAATCAGAAAAGAGTTGCAACTGATTCCTCTGTGCAGGGTTTGAGTATGATATAGCCTGACACCTTCAAATTAATCTGTTATTCCATGATTGAGATTTCATGTGCTAGAAGTTAAAGTCTAGTGAAGTTGTCTGATTCCAGCATATTGTTTTGGGTGTGTCTGTGTATGTGAGAATGGCTCAAGCCAGTGCAAATTTCATCACTGAATCCTGTGTCTAGTGTGTATTCTTTGCATAATGTGCGTAGTTGGATTTAAACATACAGAAAAATGACAAACTCTAAATCTCTTTTAGACTTTTTCTGGCTGTAGCAAAGCAAAATTGCCATGGTGTGCAGGAGGGAGGTGTTGGAAGGGAGGCCCAGTGTCTGATGTTTAATGGTAAGTGATCCATGTGTTCACAGGGGCCGTGGAGGGGTGCCTCCACCACCAGCAGGAGTACCCAGAGGGGCACCAGCACCCAGGGGAGTGCCTCCCAGCAGAGGACCAGTCAGTCGTAGCCGGGGACTTCTGGCACCCAGGGCAAGAGGAGTCCCCCCTCCTGCAGGATACCGGCCCCTCCCGCCGCCCCCGGCACAGGAGACCTACGGGGAATATGTAAGTGGAGCAGTGACATACTGTGTGTAGTGTGGAACTGAGGAGAGATGAGCCTATCCCTTCAGAACTCTGTAGATTCTCTTTAATTAGTACCTAATTAAGTCTTGCATCTGTAGCAGACGTGGTCATCTCTCTTCACTTTTTCAGACTTGAGCTGTTTCTTATTAAAAAAAACGCTTCAGGTTATGTATATACACTACCATAAAGACATTGTGCATTTGGCAAAATAGTTATGTACCTCTTAAATGTACCTCTTATATTAGGTTTCTGCTTTACAAAAATCTGAAAAATCACGATGCTGTAGACTTTTAATTCTCAGCTAAAACAAAATAATATTCTTCTTAAACCTATCTTTGGGATCATAAAGCTGTTCAATGATTAAACAAATAAAATATTTTTATGAAAGCTTCAGAACTAATCCTAAAATTTTTACAAGGTACAGTGTACCTCAATAAGCCATACATATTTATCTTTATTTTATTAAACATTAAAATCATGTCAAAATGTTTTTTATATTGTACATGACAAAATGATGTGGTTATGAATTGTTAAGGTAAACTTAAACTGGACTTACAGAGCAGTAAGATAAAGAAAAAAGATCATTAAATCAAAATTATAGTCATGAAAATGGACTTACAAAAATAATATCTTCAAGGAGAATGTTTTTAATGTTTTTTATTTATTGAAGCTTTGTGTGCCCTCTTTACAGCCAAGTGTGTCTGGACTTTGTTATTTAGACTAGATAAAAAGGAGTTCCTGAGTTCCAGAAAATGGTTTTGCTATTTAGACATTTTTTGTTTCTCTCAACCTTTCTTTCACCTGCTTGCTCCCTCTCTTCTTTCACTGGCCCCTGCCAAAACCCTCTACATAAATCTCGGCCTTTGTCCTTTCAAACAGAAACTCAGTTTTCTATATAGCACTTACAGCTTTATGCAGAAAAGTTTAATGTCATTGGTATAAACATTTATGCATATAACTGAACAATTCTGAAGAAGTTAATGTAGTTCATTAATTTTGAGGAAGAATACTTGAACAACATGTCTAAATTTCCCCTGGCTATACTTGACTAGTCAAAGTGGGTGCTGCAAATGAGTGATTCTGTCACAATGCTTTTAAAGGAATCAGTCCTCATTAAACAGCCTGTTTCCAGGACACACACTCTAGAACATATGGAGATATGATAGAATATAAACCTATTTGAGTAAATTCATATTTATATATAATCTGCTATTTATAGCAGGTATTTATAGAAGTGGCATGGAAATAACAGCTTTTTGAGTCATTCTCTGAGAAGTAAAGCATAGATCAGGATACTAAGTAGAAAATAGCACAGTAAAGAAAAACAGTGCTATGCTAAGTGACTTCTAAAAGGAATGTTCTCTAGAACTGGATCACTTATCTTCCAAACAAGATACCTTAAATAGGATAGATATACTTAAAGCTGTAATTGATAAAGCAGTGCTAGATGGTCCACTTTAAAATTACTCTATTTCTTTTCTCCTTTGATAAAATGAGGTTTCTTCAGAAGGAAGTTTAGCTAGGACACAAACCATTGGTGTATTGTGTGTTCAGTGTTAAATTTAACGCAGGGCATTTTACCTGTCCGTTCACAGTACATTATCAAAGTGCTTTAACTGTATCTTCTACAGGTTAAGGTAGCATGGTAGGAGTCACTAGTAGTATTTCTGCCCTTTCCCTATTAATTCCTCTTTAGCTATATCTAATATTAAAACACTACTTTGCCAGGCTGAGCAGAGTAAGGTCTCACTGGTTGAGAAGTGTCTGTAGGATAAGAACATCAGTAAGACCAGGGGTATCATAAGAAGATATTTTAAGCAGCATCAAAGCTTTGGAGACTGGAATATCCAGAGATTATAGAGAAGCCTTTACAAAAGTATAGGGTTTGTATGGCCAGGTTTTGATAAGTGGGTGGGGTACAGAGGTGGCTTCTGTGAGAAGCTTCTGGAAACTTCCCTACGTCCAACAGAGGCAATGCCAGCCAGCTCCAAGGTGGACCTCCTGCTGGCCAAGCCCATCAGCAATGGTGGTAGTACCTCTGGGATAATGTATTTAAGAAGGAGGAAAAACCTAAGCTAGAGAAGTCTATTCCTAAAGGGCTTCACCCAATGGAAGAGTCCCACGCTGGAGCAGTTCATGAAGAACTGCTGTCCAAGGGAAGGGCTCACACTGGAGAAGTTTGTGTTGGACTGTCTCACATGGGAGGGAACCCACACTGGAATAGGGGAAGAGTGTGAGGAGTCCTGTCCCTGAGGAGGAAGGAGCAGCAGGGACAACATGTGATGAACTGACTACAGCCCTCATTCCCTGTCCTCCTGCACTGCTGAAGGGGAGGAGGTAGAGAATTTGAGTGGTTGAGTCTGGGAAAAAGGGAGGAGTGGGGGGAAGGTGCTGTAAGGTTTAGTTTGTATTTCTCTTTTTCCTACTCTGATTTCATTGGTAAGAAACTCATTTCCCCCAGTTGGGTCTGTTTTGCCTGTGACAGTAACTGGTGAGTGATCTCTCCCTGCCCTTGTCTCAAGCCGTGAGCTTTTTGTTAAATTTTCTCTTTACAGCTGAGGGAAGGGACTGACAGAGTGGCTTTGGTGTGGGCACCTGGTGTCCAGTCAGGGTCAACCCACCACAAGGAGGCTTTCCATTGAGGATTGGAAAGTCTGTAAGGATTCATGAAGCTTTTCATTCCCTTAGGCTTATAAACCCCTGCTTTGTACTCATTAAAATAATGTGAAAGTGTGCAAGTTCAGGAGGAAGCAAATTGCTGATGGAAGCCTTGAACCACTCACTTCTGTAACTCTGCAAATATCTCAAAAGGTGATTCAGGGCTTTCAGTGTGTAAAGTCCTTGCTCGTTTCTTTTGTAGAGTGCTATTAAGTGTGTCTTGTGACAGACAATGAATCACAAGGAGCCTCCCTTTTCCTTCACTCGCTCCCTTTGCTAACTTTTTCTGTAGTCCTTGAAACCAATGAATTTATAACATCTATGAGTAATTTACTCAGTTCTGTTTCTTGCCTATTGTGATCTCTCCTTCCTCTTCTTGATTAAGTAGTTTTCTAAAAGACAATAACAAAGTGGGAAGGGTATTACTTATTTCATTCTGACAAGTTGAGTTAATTTTGGAGGCAGTATCTCACATGGGGAAAATTATGTCACAGGCAAAAAGTCATTAATTTGAGTGTAGATGTGTTTTAATGTGGGCTCAAGATCAAGAAAATTGGGTGACCATTGCTGTCCTGTGTTTAGAACTCATAGGTGAGTTTTCCAGATGTTACCCATTATAGAAAGTTCTGCTCAGATATAGGCTGCCTCTGTCATCTGTCAGCTTTCTGGGGTCTCTGTAATGCTGGCTCTTGAATGCTTTGGGTTTCTCTGCAGAATTCACATAACCTTATCAGACCAGCAACAACACTTGCACATTTTTCCAGCTCAATGTAACTAGTTTTCCCATTCCACTGTTGCCAGTCTTACTTATGTATGTCTCTCAGCCCCAGTACCCATTCCTCCTGAGACATCACCATATTGTTAGTACCATGATGAAGGTTTTGAAGCCACTAAATGACAGTTCCTTATCGTTTTCTCTGAAAATGTCTCTCTAATAGCTGTAGCATCAGCTTAGATAGCAAATATTCAGGCCTCTACAGCCAGCCAGCTTTATAATAGCTCTGTTTGCTGTGATAAACTTTCTCTGAAAACTAACACGTCTCCTATTTTTATTTCCTCAACTGCTCAGGTCAGGAGAAAACCTAATATGACATGGGAAGCATGGTCAGAATTATTTTTATAATACTTGGATAAGGGAAACCATACTAGGTGGATGCTTCATTTATTGAAGCACAGATGGTTTCAGGGACATCTTTCCTCTTAATTTTATTCAAATTGTTCTCATTGAATTATACTGTGTAATAGATAAAAATATTTTTATGTATTGTCAAGTTGACAGTTTATTCCGTTAAGATAAGAAATAGAAGCTGTATTTAAATAGTAGCTGAAAATGTTAAGCTTTTCCATAATTTTTCAATAAGCAGAAAATCAGTAACAGTGTGCTAGCAATTCACTGCTCTTTAATAAGGTCAATTCCTTAGTGAATGTTCAGACAACATGGGTTAGAACAGAACTGCTCAGTCTGTTACTGTCTCTTAACAGTTGCTGCTCTTTGCCTCTTCCTATTGTCCTCCTCTTAACAGCTTCAGACCTCTCAGACTTTTTTTCCTAATTAGTAGCACAGCAGTGGGACTGAAGCTTTTTAAGAGTAGGCTTTTATTTGCTGCTGTTTTTATTTTACAAAGGTAAATGTTTTGTAAATATTCTGTCAATATTTCACTTCTGTACTTTGCATGAATATATTTGTTATGCTGTGTCAAGTCCTGCTTTGGCTGCTTAAATGTGTTAAATGCAAAGTGAGATTTATCAGAGTTCCTAATCAACTTTTTAGGCATTAAAAATTAGACTTTAAGTGGCAGTGTGGAATGTCTGTACTGAAAAGCAAAACTCATCAGTCTAGCATGTTATGGCCAAGATTCACTTCAACACTATGTTAGAAAGCAATCAGATCTAAATATTCCTCCCAGTTCTAGGGTAAGTTTGTGGCAGAGCTTTAGTTCTGTTTGTGGCAATTTCATTAATGTTTTTTTGGGTTCAGACAAGGGCTACCTCAGTGGCAGATCTTTCTAATGCACTGACCACATGTGTAATTTCTAGCAGTTAATGCTTCAATTAGAATGCTCTAATGACATTGCTTTGTGTAATAAGAATTGAAATTAAGATGAAATGTCCACTAGTAAGAGACCGAGGGAACCTAATGAATGTTAAGTAACTTGTAACTTGAAAAAGAACTTTATGAACTATCTCCAATTACATGCCAAGATTATTTTAGCTTAAAGACACAGGCTGCTCAGAAGGATGTATAGAACAGTTGGATGCAAAAAAGTTACATGATAAACTTCTAAAACTACTCTTTAAAATCTGTGTTTAGTTATTTGCTGATT